TCACACGTCCTTCCCATTTCCACGAGGCTCTACAGTTCTTGGCGAACCTTCGGTGTCTCTTCGTGAGGTTTCGAAACCGTTTTTCGGACACATGGACGGGGTTTCGGTCCATCGCGAGGTCTCTACTTACACAGAGCAATACAGCACAGAAAGACCCAGGCCTTGAGTGGGATTCAAGCCCGAGATCCCAGTGTCAGAGCTTCAAACACCCATGAACAACAGCTGTGACAGGCAATTCACATTTTCTCGATGTTTTTAATAAAGCCAGTCATCAGTGAGATATCTGATGCTGCTCTCGACTGAATAATACTTCCGGTTTCATCTCACGCCCAACGCGTAGAATACGATTAAGCTGAGAATCGATTTCTTTCGATCAGTCGTATAATCATCGACTTTAACAGTGAGTTAGTTACACAACACAAATGTAGTTTTATTACAGTTATGACAACATTATAAATGTAAAAACTTAACTACTTTATAAGACACGTTGACAGTTGAAGTACATTTTTCGCCCTGCTGCACATTAAAATAAAATGAAATTTGGTCCAGATCTATCACACACTGGAGAACAAGTTAGCAAAGTTCGTACATGCATTCATTTTACCTGCAAGTTGTACTCAACTCTTCCACACTGTCTGGCACGTACCGAAGGTGTCCAACTTCTGACCACCTGGACATTTGCGTCTCGGAGTATTTATGATCCTGTCCACACTTATGTTTACCGGCGGCTTTTTGGTTGTCAGATCGTCTGTCGAAATGTCGTTCACTTCAAACTTTTCAGGTACCTGAAGCTCTTCGAGGCCAGCGTGATAAATCACGTCGATGAAATTTATGCGATAAACGCTCTGAATGTGTTGTGCTTCGTGGTTTCGGTCTGTCTGCTCAACGTCAGATTTGGAAAGTTTATTCAAGGAACCATGATTATTTTCTGAAATTTCATTACTAGCATAATTCGTATTTCTGTACCGAGATAACCCGAAACTTCTTGAATTCGCTGGAATAAGCAAGCAACCGAGTATAATCGTGAGAGCTAGAACAGCACTTTTTGCAGAACGACTTGAAAACATCTTACCTCAGTTATTTATAATTCACAACTGCGAATGTGCAGTTTCTTAAAAGGATGTCGTCGCATTACAGGAAACTAACCAAAGAAGGAAGCTACATCCGTATTAATGTGCGGGTTTGTGGTATTTACTTCAAGACTTTATCTAAGCCAAGTGTCCTGCTTCAAAACACAAACCAATCTGTAATCAACCACGGGAATATGTTCCTGAAGAACACCGCGGTTGGCAAGACCAACTTCAATCGTCATAACCGCCCTGATGATGGAGGCAGCAAGGACCTCTGAAATACTGGTGAACTTCTACCGGACTACATGGCGCTACAATCCAAAAGTCAGCCATCTTCCTGCTGTTAAGATTAATAACTTTCCTAATGGTAATATATTCCTGATAATGGGAAAATTTCTTACATAAATTCCAAATTAGTCCTCCATCTTGCACCCACTCCCTCAATCCATGGTGAAGGAAATTCTTTGGAAACTCGATTGTTACTCGCCTTGTCAAAGAGTAGCCTACTTCCTTAAAGGAATCCGAAAGTTCATCACCGTGTTCACAAAAGCCCGCCACCGGATTCTATCCTGGGCTAGCTGCATCCAGTTTGCTCCATCGATTCTTATCTCCCTGAGGTCCATCATAACTCTAACCTCCACCTGTGTCTAGGTCTTCCAGAATTCAGATGCCGAGACTTGATCACACACTTTCTTTGTCCTGCATTTACGTATTTCTAGACCAACATACCTAGTACTAGTAGCCCTTACCCGGTGTCCTCCGTGAGCGATTAAGTGCGAGCGGTGCGATTTGCGTGGGTGAAGCGGAAATATCAAACTGGCTGTTTGTATGGCGCTGTCCTAGGTTACAGCGAATCAGTCAAGAGAGTAAAGCGGCCGGATTCCGAGATCAAATATTTTGATATTTTCGCGCAGGTCGCTGCGCTGGCCAGTTAGGCGCATGCGCAGATAAGCTCTGACCGTGCAGTACACTGAAGTTGCATGCGCAGGAAGGCCGTGTGTTTCTCTCACGCAGGACACAACAAGCGATTCCCTTATGTCATATGACACCCCATGCTGCTTATCCAGCTCGCTTCTTATCGCTTACCTAGGACATTGCCTTAAGAGTGTTTCTGTGTTCGCTTTTATAGTATTTATATTATTGCCCAGAAGATTAATATCACCAGCACAGACCAAAAACTGATGTGTCCCATTCAACTTCAAACCTCCCTGATTTTTTTGGACGTTTCTGATTGCATATTCTAAGGCAAAATTGAAAAGCAGCGGTGATAAAGCATCTCCCTGTTTCAGACCATTTTGAATAAGAAATATATCGAACAAATGTTCACCTACACGAATTTTGCTAGAGGTCTCACCTAAACACGTTTAAATTATCCTGACTAAGCTTGTTAGTTACACCAAATTTAAGCAAAATATTGCCAATAGCTTCTATTTTGAATGGGTCATAGACTTTCTTAAAGTCTATAAATATTTGATATACTGTCCCATTGTACTCCCACTTTTTATATAGTGTGTGGCGAATGTAGAAAATTTCATCAGTTGTAGATCTGTCACTACCCAACTCACAGTGATGATGCCCAATAATTTCGTTGGCATATGGGGCTAGCCCCCCAGAAGAATGATGAATACAATTTTATAGGCAGATGATAAGAGGGAGATTTATCGACAATTATTACAATCAATCTC